AACCTCAAAATGTTTCAATGGCCCTCTAAAAGGATGAAAATGGCCAGCTGTCTGCAAGGAATATAAATCCTTCCATTCCCCACTGTCCTGTCAGAGTTGAAGAAGCTTCCTGGATGAGAAGCTAAACATCTTCAAAAGAAAAAAAACAAGAAAGTCCAATTGCCTCCTGAAAAAAAGCATCTTTGGGACAATCATGGCCTGGATAACTGAGGATCTCTTACAGGTGTGTGCAATTTTGGTTTTACTGCAACAGAACTGTCAGCTCAGTTGTCAATCTTAGGTAAACATTACAGGTTCACAGAGGTTTGGGGCCACTTTTGCAAAGTGTTTGTGGGCAAAACTCTAAACCCCAGGAAATAAACAATGGGGCAAGAAAAGACACGATGGTTAGAAGAACGAAAAGAGTCAATGCAAATGACTTCAAGATCCCTTTCTATATGCTGCTCTGTCATTCACAGAAAGACCCTGAAGTGAGAAGGGGGCACTTTAACCTTTCCATCTTTTGCCTTTGTGCCACGTGCCTGAATTAGTCTTCATTGTAGAGAGTAGTGCAGTAACAACCACAGTGCTATATAAAAAAACATTCCTTGCCCAAGTGAGAGAGGGCAGGCATGAAAACCAAATATTTCTTTTAGCCCTAGCAAGGAATTTCTGATAACCACAGTCAAACTAGAGCTGTAATTTCTTTGCTTATAAATAGACGGAGATGAAAATGTGCCTTAGCCAGGAACTATATAAAGGGCTTCCCTGATCTGGCTCCCTCACATACTAATCTTGCTGGGAAACTGCATTTCCTCTTTCTTTCTCTCCACTTTTGCAAAACCTGCTTGCCCATGACATCCCACGAGAAGGAGCCTTCTCCCACCATCATCACCGTCAGGCCTCCTGTAGTCCCCCAGGACTATATGATTTGGTCAGTCTTCAACACCCTCTATATGAATATCTGCTGTCTGGGCTTTGTAGCTCTTGCCTATTCTGTCAAGGTAGGAGATCTTTTTGATATTATTATATATTGAGAGCTACATTGTGGTTTGACTGTTTACATGGGATGGTCCCTGGGGAGCTTTTGGAAGAGAACATTTCCCAAATGTTAGCCGTGATGTTGTGCGTTGGAATCTTTGTAGCTTCTGTGAAACATTTGAGTTTCATAGAGCTCCATCATGTATTTAGGTGCCCATTAAAATTTTAAATTGCACTGTTTAATTGTAGGGGTATAGACTCTACCAATTCTTTTAGTTTATACCAGACAGGTGGGAACAGAAAAGATAGGTGGTCCCTCAAGTAACCTGGCCTAATGACATGTAAGGCTTTATATGTGATCACCAGCACACTTGGAAACAAACTGACACCCAGTTCAGCTCACAGTCATGTGGGTATATTGAGGCATGGCCATCACTGCCTGCACCATTGCATTTAAGACCAGTTGAAGCTTCTAAAGTTTAAGGGTAGCACTGTGTAGAATGTGTTGCAATAGTCAAGCCATTGTGACTGGGGTGTGAGTGGTAAGTAGACATTTCAAAATGCATATTTTCTGTACAGGACAGGTTGATCTCAAAGATGGGAGAAACTACCTACAGTACTAAAGGCATTAGAGGAAAATAAGGAGAGGGGTAGAACAAAGAGAGAAACATGTTGATGTAGAAAAGACTAGCCTACAATGAGATCAATCCTTATTTATGTTAGTTATTTTGGGAAGTGTTCTTTGCAATGAAACTGGTTTAGGCTCATTTGCTGGAGAGGATTACATGAGATGGCATGAGCAAGAATTAGCAGAGAATTTGTGAGACAATCTTTGCATCAGTATCTTCGCCATCTGATGATGAATAAATGGTGCATTTGTTGACTATGTTTAAGAGGCTACACTTTGTGCTTTGTGAAAATGTGAGATTAAAAACAACATAG